CACACTCAATATTATAGCGACATCTATTATTAAAATAGCTTGTAGTAAATGCATTTATAGCATTTCCCTGTAGTTGCGATGTTTCCTATTAAGTTCCCTTGTAGTACTGACACATTCATGTTTGACACTTGTTAACTACATACCACAGGGGAATTTAATAGGTAACATCGCAACTACAGTGAAATGCTATGAATGCGTTTACTACAAGCTATTTTAATAATAGATGTCGCTATAATATTGAGTGTGCTGTATGAACAGATTTTGAAGCCAATTTTTGTCATCGTTCGCTGTAATACACAATGGTAGGCATGATTGCAATCGTCGACGCGTTTGAAAACGGTTCGATTCGTCTTATTTCCGATTCTAAACACCTCTATAGCACGCGTATTCGGCGATAGTTGACATTTGCTTCTAAGTGAATGTCCTGTATGAACAGATTTTGAAGCCAATTTTTGTCATCGCTCGCTGTAATACACAATGGAAGGCATGAATGCAATCGTCTTATTTCCGATTCTAAACACCTCTATAGCACGCGTATTCGGCGATAGTTGACATTTGCTTCTAAGTGAATGTCCTGTATGAACAGATTTTGAAGCCAATTTTTGTAATCGTTCGCTGTAATACACAATGGAAGGCATGAATGCAATCGTCGACGCGTTTGAAAACGGTTCGATTCGTCTTATTTCCGATTCTAAACACCTCTATAGCACGCGTATTCGGCGATAGTTGACATTTGCTTCTAAGTGAATGTCCTGTATGAACAGATTTTGAAGCCAATTTTTGTCATCGCTCGCTGTAATACACAATGGTAGGCATGAATGCAATCGTCGACGCGTTTGAAAACGGTTCGATTCGTCTTATTTCCGATTCTAAACACCTCTACACACAGAAAATAGTCCCCGGAAAATTTAGGTGTTCGCCGGAAATTTTGACATATAAATATAATTTTTATATATATTTTCCCGGTAACAGTTAAAATTTACCGGCGTTGACATTTTCGCAGACATTCTATCGTAAACTATATATATTTTCCCGGGAACGAGTTCATTTTACCGAACATGTCATTTTTCAAATAAACGTCATTCGTGTTGTATGCTACTAAAACATATAATGCAACAAAATGTCTAATCGGGTAAAATACAGTCGGCTCAAACAAAATATACAAGAAATTGAACCCGAAGTGGATCTAAAAAAATTCAGCGATCTATCTATCAAAAATACAGTTGTCGTAAAATCATCACAGTCATCAGAATCGTCAGTCAATGTCAGAACAAAATTTTCGATTCACTATGAACAGTTCAATCACGCACTCGACCTCATCTTGGAAACAATATCCAGCTTCCAGTTAATTGAAAAAGTCAAAAATCAAATTTATGGCATATTAGATAGTTTGGTGGATAATTTCAGTCAACTCATCCTCACTTCCATAGATAATGGGTTTGATGCGAATTGTATGAAACTTTTAAGCGATAGGATCCATGAGGTGAAATCTTACGTTTGTGGCACACTCAAGCAACATAATACAACAAGGAAGCGAAATAAACTCTTGAAAAAGTCCTCGAATTACGTTGAACCGGTTGAAAAGGCTATTGCTTTGAAATGGAACACAAAAATAAATCCGGAGACCAATTTGCCCGACCATACAATTACTCAAGCAACATTCCATTACGTTCCGATAATAAAAACATTACAATCTTTGTTTTCTCAGCCGGAATTCAAAAACGAATATTTTGAATACAACACAAATGGAAATCATGTTTGTCAGCCCGGAGTTCATGAACGTTTTTGTTGTTCTGAAACCCACAAAAAATGCAAATTATATGATGACAAGTCAGCAATCAAAATTCGTCTAGCTTCAGATGATTGTGAAATGTGCGACCCACTAAAATCTAAAAAGGGTACGCACAAAACGTGTTGTGTGTATTTTACAATTGATAATATGCCTGAAAAATATCTCTCGAAAACTGACAATTTATTTCTTGTTGCGCTGTGTGAGAGTACTAATCTCAAAATAGATGATAACAATTTTGACGAAATTGGTGATTTGATATTAAAAGAGATGAAATATTTGGAAAATACTGGAATCGAGGTGAATGGACAAACCATCAAAGGAAGCTTAGCTCGCGTTGCCGGTGACAACTTGGGAGCAAACGGAATGCTTGGTTACGTAGAGTCTTTTAATAGTTTTTTCTGCCGTATATGTGAAATCAGTAAAGAAGAATCTGAATACTTGGTAAAAGAGCGCACAGAAATTATGCGGACAAAAGAATCCTACCAGAAGTGTGTTGAGGCTGCTTCGAAATTCGTCCAAAATGGCAAAGCAATCAACTTTAAAATAACGAAGGGCATTAAACGTGAGTGCATTTTCAATCGTCTTCAGGGATTCCATGTCTTGGATAATATTACTTTGGATGTAATGCATGATGTAAATGAAGGAATTATCCCCTTTTACTTATTCCACTTATTTGAGTATTGTGACAAAAATAACATCATAAAGAATAATGACATCCTGAAGCTCGTGCGCGATCACATCTACGGCCAACTTGACCAGCAAAATAAGCCATCGACAATTATGTTCAATCAACACAATTTAGGACAGAATGCAGCTCAAATGTATACAGTTATGATTAATTTGCCGTTTATTTTCGCCAATTACAAAGAAAAACTTAAAACCATATGGATTTCTGCAGAGAGTATGCTAAAAATTATGCAAATAATTTATTCAAACAAAATGGTCGAAGATGATGTCAAAAATTTGTCTTCATACATTGAAACCCATTACACATGCTTGAGAGAGCTTTTTGGAGTGACCTTGTTACCAAAACATCACCTTATTTTACACTACCCATACGCAATCAGAAAGATAGGCCCTTTGGTAAATTATTGGACTATGCGGTTTGAATCAAAACATGGTTTTTTCAAGAGTTTAGCACAGAAAACCAATAATTTCGTAAATATAACAAAGACACTCACTCATAAACACCAAGAAACGATTTCACACAAAAAATTTGCTACAGATTCTTTAGAATTTTCCAAAAAGAATGTCGATTTCAACAAATGTGGCTATGAAAAAAATTATTATGATCAAGTTGCAACATTTGTAGATTTAGATGGACTAAAAGTGTTGAAATTTGCAAAATATAATTGTTTTGTGTATAGAAAAGGTTTAATGATTATTTTCAATGCATGTTTATTCGAAATTGTCGAGGTTCTAGCAAAAGAAACCCAACTATTATTTTTTTGCCGACCATACAATGTTAAGCAATTTGACTCTTTTTACCATAGCATTGAAATTGAAAGAAAAAGTGAGAGAGTATCTGATTTTGTTGTCATAGATCATAAAAACTTAGAAAATCCAAAGTCATATGAGCGAAAATATTCAGAAAATAAAACGTTTATAATTTGCGACACACTCCAGCTGAAAGAAATTATGTAATAAAACAAACCACACTAAATTTATCAATGAAAAATATTTCGAGAATAAATAATTGAAAAGATGAAAAAAGTACATTGAGTTAATTCTTTTTATTTCCGAAATATAAAAAAATATAAATATTTTAACGAAAATATTCGATTCGTTTACTTTTACTTCCATTTTGTTGTAGTCGTTCTATTTCGTTAGCAAACTTTCACAGTTCATCAGTCTTGTTATTTCGAAATGCTAAATAAATAATCAAAAAGACGTTTTAAATTAAATTAATTGTCATAAATATTCAGGAAATATACACACACACACATGTGAGGTACTTCATATCACACTCAAAACAAACAAATTGCGATATATAAATATTTTTTCCGAAGGAGACAACATGCAGATTTGTGTTGAATTCAACACAGTTTAAATTCAAGAAAAGAATGCGAAAAAAGAACAAAAATTTGAGTCATGCAGATTGGTTTGGAAATAGCTTGTTTGAAGCTTCTCGAACCGTCGAAGTGATTGATGTAGTTGGAAATTTGAAAATGAAATGGTCAATGAATGTCATTGATGGTCGAATCTTTGAATTGAATTCAATATTGAACACTTTGTGGATTTTATAAAACAGATCCAACACTTGCATAAAATTGAATGGTTTCGGTACCTTAAATAGAACAAACACACTCATTCAAATAAAAAAGTTAATTAAAGAAATATATATGATATTTGAATAAAAAATCCTACGCTGAATATACGATCTTGCCATCCAATATAGAACTTTGTGTCCGGAGCTGGAATCAATCCATAGATGACAATTATTATTGGGTGCGGATTTCTCGGTTGAACCATTCTTACTGGATCGTCATGTTGAGTCTAAGAACATAGCAATTGTCTTATTAATAGAAATATGTTTTGAGTGTATAAGATTCTGTTTATACCTTGCCAAAAATTATGAATTCCTTAATGACGTTTTCAAATTTGGCCCGCGACGGAATGAATTTCAAGAGATGCAAAAAATCCAAAATCTCCGGATTATTCATTGGAATGATATTTTCTGGAACATGGATATCGTGCACATCTCGTGCAGTGTGTTTTATTTCCGGCCAAGTATTCATGAATGCATTCCCATCAATGTCACTGTACAGAATCTCAAAGTCAAATAAAATCTAAACAACAAAATTTTTAATGGGTAAGGTTTCGATAAATAGAAATAATTTAACTTTATATTGTTACCAGCTCTGGGTCGACAAAGTAAAATCCAAACATTTTATAAATCGGCTGTGGTGGATCGCTTAGGATTTTACGACGGAACTCGACACAACTCGCAAGCACTTGTTTCAATTCTTCTTTATTTTGGTGAACAACGCAGTTTTTTAAATACTGTAGCACTTCGTCTTGATCTTGTTCGAGAGGTGAATTTCCGCTTTCAATTTCCATAGCATTATCAATTGCATTTTGATTGTTGTCACCTTTTTTAGAGTTGTATCGCAGTTTCTCATACAAAAATCCATATCCTGAACCATACAGCAGTCCCTTTGATTGAATTGAGTGTAATTAAAGAATATTTCGCAGTAAAATGTAAAAGAACTTACTATGCCACCCGTTTCATCTGCCAATGAAGGAAAAATTGTGACCGTGGCTAGACAAATCGACTTGATTTCAAATTCTGTCGCATTATCATCATAATCCTCTTTGATCAAGTCAGCCAAAAGGTTTATCAATTTGAGTCTAGATTTCTTTGTCAACGCGTGTTTTTGTTGGTGTTCCGTGATGATTGATCCCGCATTCTTTCTCACTTCCAAATAATGTCGCAATTGCTAAACGTTGTGACAGTAAATGTTGAATGTTTTAATAAGTAATTAAAAAAAAAATTTCAAGCATTAAACTTACTGCGACTGTCATGGTTCTATCTGTCTCTCCAGTTATTTTCAATTCAACATAAAAACATCCACAATTAAGTTTTTGTCCAACAATATCAAAGAGATCATCAGAATATATCGGTGTTTTATTGTTGTCGAAAAAATCAATGGTGATGTCATCGAGTGAGCCCAATTGGTGTGCATCAATTACTAGAATTTTCGAAAATTCTAACAGTTTGAAATGTATTTGATTTTCACAAGATTTCTTACCTTTGTCAATGAATTGAAATATAAATTTTTCTCGAAAATCTGCTGCGTCTTGCTCTTCTTCGGTAAATTTCACATATCGAGAGACGCCTCGAATTAAAGTTGTTACATATATTGTCGGCATTTCTGTTGAACTTTTTGTTGTTTACATTTCACTTGGAATGATTCTCGTTGCGCAGACTAAATGTCAGAACGATCATATGAGCTCGTTTGAGCTTGAAATGACAGATGGCGCTATTCGTTGTTGAATAAAACATTTCGATCGCGATCAAATTCATTATTCAAATAATTTGTTTTACCAAATATTTTATTTTTTCTTGATTCTCTTTAAATTTTTCTATAGTTTTTCGTAAATTTTAAATTTTCAAGCAGCAAATCTCAATGAAAATATGAGAACTCGTTTCAGTTGGTAAAATGAACTCGTTCCCGGGAAAATATATATAGTTTACGATAGAATGTCTGCGAAAATGTCAACGCCGGTAAATTTAAACTGTTACCGGGAAAATATATATAGAAATTATATTTATATGTCAAAATTTCCGGCGAACACCTAAATTTTCCGGGGACTATTTTCTGTGTGTATAGCACGCGTATTCGGCGATAGTTGACATTTGCTTCTAAGTGAAT